AAACATACAACAAAGGTTCTCAAAATGTAAGGACAGATGGGACAAATCAGTTGTGCCAAACAAAACGGATCACAATGTAACCAAACTAGGCTGGACTAATCCCTACCTCTGGTGAGCAAATGACTTACTTGGTTTATCAAAAAAAGAGAACAGAGGTGGCAACAACAAATAAACCTGCTGCCTCTAGGCAAAAGTTAACTATGCGAGGGAACATTTTTAAATCTGACTTTAGGAAAACTGTCAGGCCTTTTTGATACACAGGTGGGATATACTAAAACATAACATTTAAACAAACGACAATAACCACAATAAAGATAACGCTGCCTAATATTAACTAAGGAAGAATACTGAAACGCTAATATCAAAAAGCATAATTGCCAAAGAAAAAACAAAACTCAAACTAGGAGAAAACACTGCCTCTCCCCGTGATGCAGGTTAACATGGTGCAGTTCAATTATCAGTCCCACCTCTTTTTGAGGCAGGTCTGATTCAACCAGGTGCTTCCTTTGATGACCAGCAGACACCTCCAGCAGCAACACCCAGGAACTGGTAACTCAAAGAAAACTGAATTAATTTAATGGAAAATAACCTAAATGAATAAACCTAATGATGTTTCCAAAACTGACAAAGAAATTTAACTAATTGTGTGCACCCAAGAAGATAACTAGCTGACAAAAATGGCTAATAAACTGTATTATGAAAGCAAAATGCAGTGTCCAGTCATTTATTGTGTATAATGCTCTAAAACCTAAAGCTAATGAAACACACGAGTTAACTCCCTCAACCTCCAGCCACACAGCTTCCTTTATAGTTTTAACAGTTTTGCTCACAGAGTGCAACAGCAGCACCTCAAAACTGAGAGAGACTGAACTTTCCGGGTGTGCTTTTTTATATATTGAGTGCCCCAAATGCTGATTGGCCAGCCTAAATGCGATGAACCAATGAGCAGCAAGAGCAGAGTACACAGGTGGGAACCAGTCATGCTGTTAGCACCTGGAGAAAACACAGGGGAGGGGAAGGGAAAGAAAAACAGGAAGAAAACACGCATACAACCGGCCCTGCTTGGCACATGAGAGAGCTGTAAGATCCAAAACGGTGAACGCGGTGACAGAGATCTGGGTTACAGTGTGGGAATGGGGGTGGTGGGAGTTTGAGTTGGGGTTTTCAAGTCTTTGATCACTGATGGGTGTTCAGGAATACTGGAGAAAATCAGTCCCACATCCTTGTGGTATGAATGTCCATCGTGATTTATTTCATTGTTTCGTCTTTTATGACCGAGTCGGTTTGTTTTGACGGTGCTTTAGAGGGAGGGGTTGTACTGTTCCAACTCATCAATGTGGGTATGTTCCAGGCTCTTTTGTTTCAGTGTGACCAGCAAATGAAGTTTCTTATTGATGGAAGTAAGGATACTCGCATCAATTTCTGTAGTCTGTAGGTAACCTGTGTCTGATGTTTTACTGTTTTGGGTTGGATGAGTCCTGCTGGACAGTACTGGAGTTGTATTCTTTTTGCACTGGCTGTAGTCGTACGTTATGTTCTTGCTTAGACAGGCTGCTTGGAATATTGCTGTATTGCCTTTTTTAATATCTATTGTGAAGTGTGTTTGAATTTTTCCTCTTAAAGGTTGCTGTTTTTTACCCCTCAGGCCCATCATGATGGCAACAAAAGTATCGCTCCAGCAGCTGATCACAAATCCTGACAGACTGAACAATTTAGCGGATGAAGCAAAAGAGCTGGCGTTGCTAAATGGTATCATTATGCGCACACATGAGACCCCCAATTCATCTGAGGTAGGGGCAACCACACAGATTTGTCTTTTCTCCGCTAGGTGTGTGTGTGTGTGTCTGTCTGTCTGTCTGTCTGTCTGCAGCTAATGTTGCATACCTGGACCAATCAGACTATTTTTTTTTGCACATTTATGACTGTATGCTCAAGAACCATTCATGGTTTCATTGATTTACAATTTCTGCGAAACCTATTTTACCGACTGCTCTGTTCTATGTCGACAGCTGACTGTCCTATTAATCAGCCGTACCGGCTGATTAATAGCCCCAAGTGATCACCAACTGCTAGGCTAAAAACAAGGCTTACCTAGTCTGTTGGGGCCCACATTTTATAGACTTTGATAGACTTTTTTGATCCCAAATCGGGGACAATCGCTTGTTACAGCAGCTCGAGATAACACAACACAATAAGAGTGATAGATAAGAAAACAACCATCAAATAAAATACAAATAGAAAACAATAGTTATATACACTATATGCACCTTTTTGTATATACAGATACGATTTGATGGACCATTGCACAGAGATAATTCTACAGATAATGGAATACACACATGGTGTGTAGCATTATACTAAATATATATGGAAAAATATTGCACTGTAAGATGGATAAAATTGAGATAGTGTGAAAAAATGTAATTGCACAGGGAAAGCACAAGTATAATTTAAATAAAATATCGGCTATATATAAGGGTATATAGAAATTATGTAAAGGGTATGTATATGAAATGTGTAAAAAATGTGCATATATAATAGTAGGATGTATAACTTGGGAAAGTGTTTTTAGGCGGTGGATGATGTGACAGTGTGTTGAATTATGTCAGGATGGTGTTTTAAGAAGAAAAAAACATGAGAAATGCACTAAAAGCTCAGAAATAAAGGTCAGAGCGGCAGTAACAGGCTGCCACTTACGCACCATTATTCCATACCTGATATGTTATGATCCACTAAAGTTAGGCACAACAACTGACTGTGCCAGATGGTTTGTTACACAGAACCATCTGGGAAGTTGTTGTTGGGAACTGTGAGGGCAGGCACTTTCAAAAAAATACTCGCCGGCGATTGGACCAATCAGATCAAGCAGTCAAACTCTTACCTAAGCCAAGTCAGAAGAAGAGTGAAAACATACGGCTGTGGCTCAGCGGCAGAGCGGGTCATCCACTAATCAGAAAGTTGCTGGTTCGATCCCCGGCTCCTCCTGCCACATGTCGAAGTCTCTTTGAACAAGATACTGAACCCCAAATTGCTTCCGATGCTGTGACTGTGTATGAATGAGTTCGATGGGTGCTATACAAGTACAGGTCCATTTACCATTTACCATGATTTTTTCATCATATTTTCAGGTTGTGACCTACGCTCCGTTCACCCTCTTCCCCACACCTGTGCCCAAGGATATGTTCCTCCAGGCTCTGGCAGTGCAAACACACTACAACACACTGGTGGACAAGATCAGCCAGGACCCAGACTTTCTGGAAGAGGCTCTCGCGGGGTACAAGGGGAATTTTGGTGGCATGTTGGTGTTATTTCACATCAAGGACCCCTAAGGTCAAGGACCCCTAAACTGACACAAATTAGACCATGGACCCCCATTTTTTAAGATTATGTCCCAGGGTCCCCCATCTGATTGGATTTGAACTTTTAGATGTTTTATTACAGAAAGTATAAGAAACGCAGGACCAAAATAGTTATACTGTCTCAAGGACCCCTGGGGGTGCCCGGACCCCACTTTTAAAAACCATTGTTATAAAAAAAAAAAAACCTGTGCAAATTTTGCCCTTTGAATCCCACAACATAGCAAACATGAACCTAAATAAAATGAGTAGTATTAGAGAGAATGCAGTTCATTGCTTCATCCCTGATGTGTAATGTTTGATTATTTGTTTCCTTCCACATCACAGTACTATCCAGGCAGATGATTTCACAGCTAGGTTGTTTGGCATATACAAACAAGTGCAGCAGGAAGGTCGGACACAGGTAAGAAACTTGATTGACAGGGTTTATGCCGTAAATAAATGGCTTTGACACAGTATCAGCACTCTGAAAGGATATTTGGCATTGTTCTTACAGTCCACAAATCCCATAAAAAGACCAAAACCCAATTATGTGGGTGTCTGTGTCTCCAGTGGCAGAAGGTTGTGATGCATTTCAAGAAATCCAACAATCCAATCACATCCTCTGATTCATTTTTGTAATCATGGAGGAAACTAGTTGGAAGATGGAAACGCATTACTTTGACTTTAACAAACAAAACTGGATTTTAATTGTTGTAAGTGTGAATTTTGGGGAGAATATAATATAACTAGTAGTGTAACTAATTGCTGTTGGCAGGGAGTAATAAGTAAAGTAATATTACTCTTGAAATGAGTAATAAAAAAAAAAACTAGCCCAACACTGCCTTTGATCATGTTTTGTCCACTGGAAGGGCATCCTAGAGGGAGCCCCCCTTCACCAGTGCAGCTCTCAGTTGTTACTGCCTACCCTGTCTGTGGCACCAAGCCCATTGGTTGTAGTTTTTAATACATTGTTCTCAGGAAGGAATATACTGCAATTACTATTCATAAATGTTTGATATCATAAACAAAAGAAAACAATAACAATAACAGATAAAGATAAAACTAATAACACAACAGGATTTATGTCAAATGTTTGTAGTGACGTATAATCATCTCTGCTGTTGGTTGTGCAGTGGTTGATTTTATAAGTGTGGCCTGAATTTGCCAGTGATTTGTTTTTGTTTTTTCCAGTCTATTGTGGTGGGTTTGAACCGGTCTGACTACATGGTGGATCAAAGGGAGGATGGGACTTCTTCCTTGAAGCAAATAGAGATCAACACTATTGCTGTTGGTGGTTTTGGTGTGACTGACAGTATCCCTGTGGTGCACAGGTATCTAAGAACATGTAGAAGCGTTTTCTTTAACCAGAAATTCAGTTTAATGGCACAGTATGTTGATTAGGTTAAATGTGTTGTTGAGATGTGCAAATATTGTTTTACGTTATCCTAATTTGTACATTTCCATTTCCATTTGAATTGAATGTGATTTCCACTTGTACAAAAATATGGTTCTTCCTGATTGGTCAGGCACGTGCTGAGGTCGGTTGGTCTTCTGAAAGAGAGTGAGTGTATCTTGGATTCCAACAAGACTCCTGGAATGAGTGCTGCTCTCGCTAAGGGCTGGGAGCTCTACGGCCAACAGAAGTAAGTGTAGTGAAGCTGGAGGTCACCATGTTGTATGTGACACCAATGTATTAAAATATTTAGAAACAAATCAGATGTCATTGATATAATCTTTTATAGTGGAAAGTAAAAAATACAATCAGAATTAAAGATTTTTTTGTTTACCTTTTTTTCCAATGCATTTTAATGAATTTGATTTGTAGTTTTTATCTAACATCAAGACTAGTGTAAAAACCTGTGGATTTACATTAGCAAGTCAGGGGTCTGTCTCAGCCTTCCAGTCATTCCCAATTTATGTAATTCCAATACTGTTTAGGGACCCCAGTACGTAGAAATATTTAAATACACTAGGCGAAAATAAAAAAAAATTTACCACATGCAAAAAACTGCATGGTATTGACCAAAAACTGTATGGAATTAGCATAAAGTAGACGTGTCTGCAAATGGGAGAGTTGTGGGTACCCATAGAACCCATTTTAATTCTGATATTTTGAGGTCAGGGGTCAAGGGACCCCTTTGAAAATGGCCATGCCAGTTCTTCCATTGCTAAAATGTATCCTAACATTGGAGCATTATTTAGCCCCCTTCCTGACATGCTAGCATTGTTGGTTGGTACCAATGGATGCGTTGGGTCATCTAGTTTCATATGATACTTGGATCTTCACTAGCTTTTAAACTTTAAAATGAAGCCTATTACAGCCTTTGAAAGACAGGGGAAAAGGAAAGGATAATGGGGTGGCCAATCAGATTTCAGGGGTGGCCAGTGCCCTCCTCTGGAACGCCCCTGTTCCCCTCATTCTCTCTGATTAGACCGGAAAATCAATGGAGCAAAAGGCCAATACTCCATTATAACAAAAAAGGTTTCAAAATGATTAAAGCAAATTCCTACCCTAACTATGTAATGTAACATAAAAATAATAACATCAGACAATTTTTGCCTTTAGGTGGCAGGAGTGAAAATTAGTTATTGTTAGCATTGTTGTTGTTGTTCTGGTTTCAGAATGATGAAAGAGTTGGAGAATAGGATAGGACAGGTGATTTTTTCTTTTTTTTTCTCCTGGGAAACCATTGTTTTTCTTTCAATTCAATTCACTTTAATTTGTACAGCACCAAATCGTAACAGAAGTTATCTCAGGACAACTTAAGTGAAATAGAGCAGGTCTAGACCGTACTCATTAAAAATTATTTACAGAGTCCCAACAATCCAAAAACTTTCTTTTAAACAGGCGGCAAGTGCGAGCCCATCATGACCTCACCCATTGATTTGTGGAGTACTGTTTTGAAGCCTTGAGTTCAGCATTTTGGCCGTCGCCATGACAGTTAGACGGAGCCAGCAAGTTTCAACTCGTCTATAGCACAATGGTGGCTTGCCTGGTCACACACAATCTCATATTACAGCTAAACAGTACAGTAAAATATGTTTGGTTTTTTTTTTAAAGTGAAATATAGACCATGCAGGAACAGAATCCTATTTTTGGTTTGATCAGCACTGCCTAGTTTGACAGTTTGATCTGAGTTTTGTGCATTGTGCTGGACTGACTCACTGAGAATGACCTGTCAATCATAAGGTAGCCACGCCCAAAAGCATACCCTGCTTTATCGTCTTTTTCACTCTAAAGTGGACCATAATTTACTTAATGAACATCATGCTGTAAGGAAGAAGACGTGAAACTAAACTCATTAGGAAACTGTTTACTGAGCTTACTGAGTGAAAAGTCTGGACCCCCCTAATGCCCCAAATGTCACAGCATCTGGCTCTGCCCCTGCTGAAGGTCATGTTCTGTGTTGCAGCAGCATGGTTCTAAGAGGTTTAAGGGTAGAATTACATTACTCTCCTCCAGAGGTACAATGTCAAAAAATATTATTTGTTATACTGTATTTTATCTTTATCACTAAAAAAAAAAAATAAAGTAATGAACTTGATTCTCTTTCTACAGGGCAGTAATCATGTTTCTGGTTGAGGATGTCCAGATTAGCAAACTCACTCATCGTTGCATGGAGAGAGAGCTGTGGAACAGGTAAAGCTAAAGGATTTAAAAGCTGTATGCCAACGCCATGAAAACACCAAGAAATTCACATTTGTTGAGCAGAAATCACTTTCTCTCTGTCTGCACAGGAACATCCCTGTTATCCGCAGAAAGTTTGACGAGGTGTCCAAAAGAGCATCATTAGATGATGACAAAAAATTGTTTATGTGAGTACGCATTACATTTTTTACAGCTGTGAAACATTGAATTGTAAATAGTAGAGAGTGATCATGGTTTACAGAGGGCTATATTCAGAGGTGGGTTAATATGAAATATGCCTGTTTGTTGTTGAGTTAGAAGAGAACATAGATACATATCATAAATATGATGCTAGAGCCAGCAAGCCGTTAGCTTAGCTTAGCTTTACCAAAATGTAAAACCAATCAGTTGTGGCTGCTTCCAGCCTTTGTGCTAAGCTAATCAAAATGCTAACATATTTCACAAAATGGCAGACCTATTCTTTTAACAATTCTACTAGCAAGAGTGACTGAGTTGTAAAGATGAACTGTTATTCTAACCAAGCCCATAATATGTTAGTTCTGTCATGTCTTGATGCTTTAACTGTAACTCTGCAGAGATGGGCTGGAGGTAGCAGTAGTGTACTACCGCTCTGGCTATTCACCAGATGACTACATGGAACAGGTAAGATATGAATATTCTTTAATATCTGTGTAACTTTGTACTTTACCAGCTAGTTGCTAACTTTGACAGTTGTTTGGCGCTGTGCTGGCCGGGTAGCATGCAGTCGGTTTATCAGATGTACCTTTTTTTTCACTACAAACGATGCTGAGACTGAACCACAGCAGTAAAGTTTCAGGGCAGAAAATAAAAACAATGAATAAAAGACATTAAAGCACTGAGGGAAACCTTGCGTGATAATTGTGTGTTCATTTTAGACTGTATAATTAAAAATGGACATAGTCTCCGTGACGTCATTCATAGCTTTACAAAGAGTCGTTGTGAAGCTCAGTGTGGTCAACTCCGGCCGTCGCTAGGAAGTCCTGACTCTGCCTGCTCCCATCTAATCCAAAAATGGGCAAAGACATGAAGCATGGGTGGAGCTGAGGCGGGTCAAATGAAGCCTGGTTACAGCTACCTGTGACAGCACCCACCTGTCACTCAAAGCCGCCATACCCTTAATTATGCATAACCCTTAAAACGGATGCATCACAAAAGCTAATATTTCCAGTCAAATAACTTTACAACATTTGTTGACACGTGACCCCTTAGTAATACATGGACTAGTAATCAAGAAACAAGTCCCTTCTTCTTTGAATTTAAAATGATAGAAAGGAATATCTCCAGTTGTGAATCATTTTTAACACTGAATTCATGTATGGTGTAGACTTGGGATGCTCGTCTTCTGATGGAGCGCTCTCTGGCTGTGAAATGTCCAGATATCAGCACTCACCTGGCTGGAACCAAGAAGGTCCAGCAGGTGCTCGCCAGGCCTGGAGTTCTGGAGAAGTTCTTCCCAGACCAGCCCAAAGTAGTGGAGCAGATCAGAGCAACGTTCGCCGGCCTCTACACTCTAGACACGGTGAGAAAATAACACCTGCTACACAGTTCTCTCATCCTGTTATCTCAAAGAGATGGGAGGGACATGACGCCATCCAATTGAGGTGGAGTGTTCTTTACTGTTTCCCACCAAAATCCGTGAGGCCTGACAAATGTTGTATTCATCATAAAACATTAACAATTCCAGTCTTTTTAAATATTTTGAAACCACAGTAGCATAAAACATACAAACCAAACACTGGCTCTTGATAGGGCCTTGCAATTTGCAATCTCCAACTTCACCACTAGATGCCACTAAATCGTATGCACTAGTCATTTGACTCTCCTACAGTCTGTACAAATAATTAACAGTTTTAAAGCAAAACAAATTATGCCTGATAACAGCTGCTTTGATTATACATCTGTTGTTGCATCAGGTCGTCACAAAATGTGACTGAAATAACAAAAATAGACTAAATGAAATGAAAGAAATTAAGAACAAATTAATGTGTAATTTTTAACTCCTCTGGGCTCCAGGGTCCAGAAGGTGACCGGGCATTTGCCATGGCTTTGGCCAACCCAGATGCATTTGTCCTGAAGCCTCAGAGAGAAGGAGGAGGTAAGACGACATCAGCATGCCCTCTGAAAAAGATAACATATTACATGGTATTTCTTTACAATTCACTAAATTTGCCAAGTTCTTGCTCATGGTGGTACTGTTGGGTCTGTGTAAATAATGCTATAAGGAGTTCGGTCTAGACCTGCTCTATCTGTTCGTGTGATCGACTTCACACTTTGCGGGTGTGTTGCTGAGGACCCAAGGGAGTGCAGTGCGGAGTCGATTGGCAGCGCTGTAAGCAGCACTTCTGGGGGCCTTGAAATTGGTCCGCTTGACACAGCCACGCCGTGAACGGGCACTGTACTAATTGAGACTACATATGACCTCACATGTATCTGCTTTACCACTTCAGGGAACAATTACTTTGGAAAGGACATTGTCAGAGTACTACAGGAGGTTAAAAGTGACAAAAGGAGAGCTGCTTATATTCTAATGGACAAGATCCGACCCAGAGAAGAACATAACATCCTGCTGAGGAAAGGACTCCCGCTCAAACTCTTCTCTGTTTGCTGTGAAATAGGAGTCTGTGGAGCCTATGTGAGGTACAGTATAAACAGAGGCATTCAGCATTCATGTGGTATAAAAAAAAATATCAGACATAGATTTCTTGAAAATCATGAAATAAGCTGTTTTATTTGCATTTAATCATGATGCATCTGTATCTCCATACAGGCACGGAGGAGAAATGCTCCTCAATAAGGCTGTTGGTCACATTTTGAGGACAAAGAGCATCGAACACAACGATGCGGGGATAATGGGTGGAGTGACTGTATTTGACAATCCGCTCCTCATCTGAACACTCCTTGTGGCATCTACGGTGGCCTCGAGAGTTCAACGCACTTAAGAAAACACATGCAAATAGACAAAGCACCTGAAATGTAGAAAACACCTTCACCAATTTGCCAACACATACACAGCCTGACCTGTTATCAGTTTACAGTATGAAGGGAGAGTTGGTGGTGGAACAAAGATGTTGCACTTATTTTCTGGTACCAGCTTCACTTCTTCTAGTTTAAATAAATGTATCAAAATTCAGTCGCCTGCAGTATTACAGGCTAAACACTAGGTGGCAGTAAAACCAAAGGCATTGTCCACATACACACCAGGAGATCTGTGGAGTTCATACCAGGTCATCAAGGCAAAATGGCTCACGTGACCCTTTTGGATCCCACTTGTCAACAGCGTGCACATACTTTCATATTCAACAGCACAAAAAGGAGGCATAGAACCGTAGTTCCCCATGATGTCTCACTAATGTAGCTCTAAATTAGTAATGATGCAAAAACATTTTCCACCTGCCATGAGATGTTTTTTTGATTTTAACTTAATTTTTCTGAAGAGTTTGCACATAATGTAAAACCTTGCCTGCACTGGTGGAAGTAGTACTTTGATCATTTTATCTTTCATAAAATAATAACTTTTATGACTTTATTTATGTAGCACAGTTTAAAACTAGTGTTACACGGTGATTCACAAGGACAAATAAAATCTAGCAGGAGAATATCAAGTACAAAATCACTATTGACAAAACTGTAAAAAAAAAAGTACAAAGGTATCTGCAGAATGTATGTAGAAGTATCAAAGGTAAAAGTACTTGTTCTGCATTAAATATAATATATTTGTATATAATAAACTGTTGATGCAATAGTGTAATCAGCATTTTAGTCACAAAATTGTTGAAACTGATTACATCGAAGATTTCAAGTAAAACTAACTCAATTTAAAAAAAACATTCTTGATCAAGTAGCTTCTGCAAATTTTAGTGACACTGACTTAAGTTTGTAATTTTTATTTGTACTGTGAAAACAAAATACTTGTAATAAAAAGTACTTAATCAGGAATATTTCTGAAACTTACTAAACTACGTTAGTGACAATTGAAATAACTAGTAAAATCTGCTTAATCAAGAATCTTTTTGAAATTTGACGTGTGTTACTTAAAATTAGCAATTATCCGTTTTAACAATTTGTTTGAGTTAAAATAACTTATTACATTATAGTGTAGGGGTCGGGCCTCCTCCAATGGAACACAACATAAACCTTTTAGATTTGTATTTTCTGTGGGGTAAAACTGACTTCTTTGAGGGTTAAACATTTATTTAATGAATCCATCTGACATGATTGAAGATAAAATACCTCTTTTGCTGCTAGCAGCTCATAGACATCTGAAATGTGACAAATAGACACTGCGTTATTATAAGGGGGCAACAAGTCAAAAAGGTTGGGAAGCACTGGTTTAATGTTAATGCATTGTATTTTATAATTTGATCATATGTGTGTTAATGTAAAATCTTCATCTGTTAACTAACCAGCTGTCGGATCAATGTGGTGGTGTAAAAACTGCAACATTTCCCAGAAGAATGAAGTAGAATAAACACTCAAGTAATGTAATGTAACTCAAAACTGTACTTAGTTACTTTGTGGCACTGGTTGTCTAAACTGTGATGATGTCTAAACGTTGTAATTATGTCATTGTTTATCCTAATGTTTTTATGAAGACAACAACCCAACCTGAGGTCGAGTTCTTTAACTGTCTGTGTTTCTACCATGAATGAGACTAAGGTACTTGGACACTGAATTAATGCTAAGTGTAGCTGCTCAGGTATGATGAAGATATAATGTTGTGTTTAGCCTTCTTGTCAATGATCCTGATACAATATTGGGAAAGTGCTTACACGTCTTTATGGCTTTTTCCTTTTACCAATGGAATGCACAGCTCTGTTTGACCCAAATGTCAGCATTTGGTCGTTTATCTTTATTGTCATTTTTGTCAACAGGTGGATAATAAAAGAATTTCTCTGGCCTTATACCATGGCGTCTGGCATTTCTAGATTCTGATTGGCTGTAAGGTGTGGATTAACTTTTAGTAACCAGACAGTATAATCCCGGGTTTGTGTGTTTTTCTTTTTTGTCCAAGAAAAACTTGCAAATGAAAACATAGCTATGAATATTACATTAGATCAATAGATGGATAGATCCTCCTGAATGTTACACACTGGACCTTTTACAGGAGATATTGAATTCCTCCATTCTCCTTTCTGGTGTTTATTTTTTTTATTCAAAAGTCGTTTTGTGGAAAATAAACCCACTACAAAAAAGCCTTATTGCTAAACCATTGCTGAAGCCTCAGTACTGTTGCCATGGTTACCTACAGTTTAATATAGGCATATTCATTTAGAATGGCAAACACCTGCATCATAGGTGTCCGGTTATAGTGTGTGGTTATTAAGAATAAATCCACACCGTTCAGCCAGTCAGTAAGAGATAATATCTTACTCTGGTGGTTCATCCAGGTATTATCTCTTACATAACACAACACAACAGAGTATAATTCAGTGTCAGATATTCCCACTGACTCAAAATAAAGCATTGTGGTTATTTTGTTCACATCCTGTTTTTGTTCCTTCTTAATGATCAGAAATCTTTGGTGCTGACTTGCAAGTGCGACACATTCCAGTAAGCGGTCTGGGTCACCAAACAGAGACAAGGGTCATTGTCAGCGAGGGCCGTCAGCACCAGAGAACGTCCCACAGGAAACACTCCAGCATTCACTGTTTTACTGCCAGAGCAGCTAAAGAAAAATACATGCGTTTTGTTCCCTGAAGCTGTTGTCCCGGGGGGAGGGGGGGGGTGAATTCTAGCTTACAGATGTGAATTAGTCTAGTTCAGATTTGTCAAATCACATTCCTTTTTCTATGCAGTGTCACATGATGATTATGGGAAGTTCAAGCCAATACTGACTTGAGTGTCATCACGTTTTACTTTTACTTTCGACCAATGTCTCTGTTTCGCTATTATTGTTTACAATATGAGTGCAACGCATAAATAATCAGCTGGTCTGCTGATGGATTGAATTATGCTCCTCCTGATTTACATTTTATTAGATTTGTATGGTCAGGGTAAGTTAACAGTTCAGCAGAAATTCAGAAGAACCAGCAAATCCCTCTTACATATTCTCCTGAAATCCCAACAACACAGCTCAATCACAATCCGGCTCCAGACCAAACATTGTAAGTGCAGTGTAATAAGCTAGTTACACAAGCGTTGGCCCACTTAGCCAGTGACCTCTCTCTCTTAAATGCGAGTAGAGAGTGTGTGGATTATAATGTGGATTAGAGCGTGTGTTGCAGTGTTGCACAGGCAGAGGACAGGGGAAGAGAGTCACGATGTGGGTCACGGCAGGATGGAAGTGGGTCAGGGTGCTCCGACTCAGCAGAGAGGAAAGTTGGGGAACAACGACGTCAGCAAGATTTGGATATTTGTGCATGTGGGAGAATGTAGCTAATGAAAAACAGTGCCTTGTAAAATGCATTACTCTACTTAGAGAGTTACTGAGATGTTTTTTTTCATGGTTCGTTCCTACCACTCCCACTACATCCTATTGACAAGAATAGCTGGAAGTAGAAGCGCTGCTGTCAGTGGCTGAAACATGTGCCCCCCCCCCTCAGTGTACCTTTTGCTTT